GGGGGGGGGTGAGGGCAGCTGCATTTAGGGTGTGGTGCAGCAACAGCCACGCCGGACCCTGGAGGCCTCTTGGGGATGGCTGCAGAGATCTTGCCAGGTGAGAGGGAGGGCAAGACAGTACTCTCCTCCACTTCAGGTGACATCCACCTGGTCCCAGGGATGTGAAGGAAAGGAGAGTTCCCATAAGAGGTGAAGGGGAAGGGTTGTTTTAGACTAGGAGCTCATTTGAGGTTAGGAATGTGGGGAGGTAGGGTCTGGAGAGGTTATTCAGGGCAGGAGAGCTTGGATGTCCTTTAAAGCAGGGCTTGGTCCATGGGCTTCAGAGAACTGGCTGGCAGTTCCAAAAGAAGAAGAAGAAGAGAAATGGTTTAGGCAATGGGCAAAATATGGTGCTGGTTCTGGCACACTGGGGGCGGGGGGAACCCTCCTGGTTCTCCGCATAGCACTGGTTTAGACGAGCAAAATGATCTACTGGTGCCCATGAACAGTGGTGATTAAAGTAGTAGAGTCTATTGCTAGTGAACCATATTTTTGTACAAGAATTGAAACAGCTTTCAGTATACAGATTTCAGTAGCAGAACTAGGCAGCAGTCTTAGCCACATTTGCTTGAGAGCCATGACAGGTGGTTGCTCTCATGCCATTGGGGCATTGAATCCATTCCAGTTTTTGGTTAGCTTTAAAGGTGCTGTCCAAGGTGCTGAATTGATTCAAGAGTAGGAGAAACTCCTTTAAACCCTGGATTGAAATCTGGAGTGGATTTGCCACTCACTGACATGGGAACCATCAGCTGCCAGTGCTTGGGAGAAAGCCACATTTGAGAAAGCATCTTTGAGTAGATATACATAGAATCATGCTGGTAAGAAATCACATCAGTGCATTTGAAAGGGGTCTGCTACTTCTGTTAGACCTATCATCAGCCCCTTTTTTACCTATGAAGTCCTGTAACCCAGCTGCATGATGAATAGTCACAAAAACCACAGGAATATCCAGCAGGGTCAGTATGTTAACATGCTCTACACCAGGGGTAGGCAACCTAAGGCCCGGGGGGGCCGGATGCGGCCCAGCAAGGCCTTTGGACCGGCCCCAAACCGGTCCTGCCGCCGCCGCCCCCCCCCACCGCCGCCGCCCCCCCATGATGATATTGATTATTGTTGTTATTACTTGTTCTTGGGGTTTTCTTGGCAAAATCTTCACAGGGGTTTTGCCATGGCTTTTCTGGGGCTGAGAGAGTGTGCATGCATTTTTTAAATTTTTTTAATTCTTTTTTAATTTTAATTTTATTTATTTATTTATTTATTTATTTTTGGTGCTTCGGCCCATCAATTGTCTGAGGGACAGCAACCCGGCCCCCGGCTCAAAAAGGTTGCCTACCCCTGCTCTACACCTTCCATGCTGAATATAGAGTTTTATATTTGAATATGTATGTTTTAAGAAGTAACTAAGCAAGTCCCATTGTAAAACAGTTAGACCATATTGCCTTCTCACCTTGTGTGTCCCTATTCACCTTTCTTATACATCCATGGAGGGATTGTTTCAATCAATATTTTGTTATTCTAAAGTTAAAGCCGTTAGTTATTCCGGAATTCCATTGTTGATCCCCTGGGAAGACCATCAGATCTTTGTTACATTGTAGGATAGCACCAAGCACCCCCCAAGGGTAGAAATGAAATATAAATATTTGCTCCACACAGTCAGTTCACTGCTACAGACCAAAGTTCTATAACACAGACTGGAACTGTGCTCTCTATATACTCCTCAGACCCCATCTGAGCCACTCTGTCTTCCATGGGACTCTCCAAGATTGGTAATATTACCCCCTCTAACTCCTGATTTCTTACTATCCAACCTTTCACACCTTTCTGTTAGCTCTGTATGGTTCTTGAGGTTGCATTGGTTCTGTGTGTTTGTGTGCACCTTTGTACCTTTGTACCCTGATGGCGCAGTGGTTAAATGCCTGTACTGCAGCCACTCACTCATAAACTACAAGGTTGCGAGTTCAATACCAGCCAGGGCTGAGGCTCGACTCAGGCCTGCATCCTTCCGAGGTCGCTAAAATGAGTACCCAGATTGTTGGGGGGCAATCAGCTCACAGTTGTAAACCGCTTAGACATCCCATAGCGTGATATGAAGCGGTATATAAATAAGCTGCTTTGCTTTTGCTTTGCTTTATTTCTAAATTAAACTCATTATTCACCAACACCAGAGTCTCTCTGCAGTTAGTACTAGGACTCATAGATGTAAAAGATCCCTTAAGTTACCCACCCGCTTTCAGGCCTCCTGCTGAGCTAAGAAATTCCTCAAATACCAATGAGATGCTGTTACTGGTGGTGGGGACCCCAAGTCCCCACACATTTTTGGGTAATAAGTAGGACCAATTGCAAATATAATCAACGGCCTTAGTTGAAAACAAGATTAATCTTCATTCTGAAAACATATATTCAGTTGGGCCAGAAGATGGAGAAGAGGGCAGCCTTCAAGTATAGTCTCTGGTATCTTCAAATAGAACAAGGAAAGACCCTTGCCTAATACCCTGGGAAGCTATATTCTGGTAGTCTGCATCAACTTTCTCTAACCAGGGGCTCTCTAGATGACCTGGACCACAACTCCCATCATATATATCAGAAGATGGAAGTTGTAGTCAATCTTTGGAAACTTACTAGTTAGAGAAGACTGATGTAGGTAGTACTGAAATAAATGGGCCATTATCTGAATCAGTTTAAAACAGCTTTTTTATTTTTATATGCAAATGGGTGTTTTCACATAGATATATGCCTCTGGAGTTTTTTGTATTCAGCATGGACATTGCTGTACAAGAGCAGCTCAAAATGAAATTGGTAATCTTGAATGAGTCACATTAAAATCATAATGTGGATTTTTTCATAGCCATCTATACTCAGCTACCACTTGGCAGTCAAGGATAACCTGTGATATGCTGCATCTGAAACCTCTGAAAGTATCCCCAAATACAAATTGAACTTTTACTGACCTTGTACTTTGGTTGAACATACGTATTTCATGCAAATAAGATGTTCTGAAGTGCCTAATGTTTGTTGTTCTCAGAAATCTCAAAAGCTCTGCTTGAACAAACAGACAAAAACCTAAACAAACTACTTGGAGGTTTTTTTAAATGTATATAGATGCTAGAAATTATGTTTTTTAAAGTCAAAGATCAAAAGTCAGTGCATTCATAATGGTCTCAATGGAGCTCTTATTTGCTAATTGCAGAGGTTGTGAGGAGAAGGGATGGGAAGCATGATTAGATGTTTCAGATTTCCCATTCTTCAGTCCAGCTGAGAGA